CTGTTGCCACCACCGCCATCGCCGCCACTTCTGCCCCTGCTTCTGTCCCCGCTGCCACTTCTGCCCCTGCCGTCGCTGCCGCTTCTGCCCCCACCGCCTCCGCTTCTGCCCCCGCCACCACTGCTGCTTCTGCCCCCGCCGCCACTGCCCCCGCCGCTGCTTCTGCCCCCACCGCTGCTGCTGCTTCTGCCTTCCAGTCCTGCCTCATCCAGCCGGGCCATTTGCAGGAGGAGAGGTAGGCGCGAGGTGGGCGAGCCCCCCCCCCCCCCCCGCAAAATTTGGCCGGAAAATAAACCATGATAAAAAAAACGTGATAAAAAAACTGTGATAAAAAATAAATAATTTTTAATAAATAATTAATAATAAAAACATCTCACTAACTTCATTTCCAAATAAATTTAATATGTTAACTATGTTTTCTATGGTTTTTTTGGATGATCAGGAATTGTTACTGTTATTTTATTTTATGTGCGGCCCAAACCAAATTTTCATCTTCTAATGTGGCCCAGGGAAGGAGAAAGGTTGGACACCCCTGATTTAAATTGAAATTTTCAAACCACCCAGAAAATCTGGATGCCAGCTTCCTATTAATTTTGGACATTCAGGAATAGGACTCACCAAATGTCCTAGACAGATAATGAAAAATCTCAGTAGGAATGCAATGAATCCCTTGCTAAACAAGTGGGTTGTCTCCATTTCCTTCCTTATGAAAAGAGAATCCTCAGGATAATTGGAGCATACAACGGTATATGAAGCTGTAATTGCATTTTTCCTCCTCTACACTTTCAGAGGGATGACATGAGAAGAGATCCTGATGGCTTTTCCAAAATAAAGTATGTTTGAGTCAAACAATATTATTTTATATGTCAATAATCCTAAAGTTCAGGCTGGCACCAAGCTGTGGTGCCGAAGGAGAACTGCCACTATCCTGCAATAAGAAACACAAAGCCATAAAAAATTAAAACAAAAGTAAGTAATAATTAGTGTCCAGAGCAGTCACTCAAAGATGGAACATCTCAGGGCCTCTGCATATTAGCCACTGGCTTGGGACTTTAATGTAATATAAATCCATTAATTTAGATGGTTTAAATATGGACAATTTGATGGTGAGTGAACCCATCAGTGTTCACCAGTAATGGTGGAAATATATACCATCCATTTGTTTCAAATAGAATAACAGAGTTGGAAGGGACCTTGGAGGTCGTCTAGTCCAGCCCTCTGCTTAGACAGGAAACCCGATACCATTTCAGACAAATGGTTGTCCAATCTTTTAAAAACTTCCAGTGTTGGAGTATTTACCACTTCTGGAGGCAAGTTGTTCCACTGATTAATTGTTCTCACTGTCAGGAAATTTCTCCTTAGTTCTAGATTGCTCCTCTCCTTGATCCATGGCTTCTTGTCCTGCCCTCAGGTGCTTTGGAGAATTGCTTGACTTCTGCTTCTTTGGGGCAGTCCCTGAGATATTGGGACACTGCTATCATGTCACCCTATTCCCCATTTTCCCCCATTAAACTAGACCTACTCAATTCCTGCGACCATTCTTTGTATCTTTTAGCCTTCGGTCCCCTAATCATCTTTTTTTTTGCTCTTCTCTGCACTCTTTCTAGAGTCTCAACATCTTGTTTACATCATGGTTACCAAAACTGGATGCAGTATTCCAAGTGTGGATTTACCAAGGCATTATAAAGTGGTATAAGTATTTAGAAGCATCCTGTAAATGCATTCATGGGGTTGAAGAAGATTAAAGAGTAAGAGCCTCCAAACTATTGCAGTCTGGATGAAAACTGTCCAAATTTGGTGGTTGAGTGATAGACTCTTAAAGAAGAGAAACCCTCAAGGAAGAAACTAACACCAAAGGGTGAGATTTTCCTAGTGTTACTGTTGCCTTAAGAGGGGCATGATGGCTCAGTGGTTAAAGAGCTGAGCTGGAGAGCTGACAGCTCAGGTTTGAGATCTGAGCTCTGAGCAACGGGGCGAGTTTCCATTCCTTGCTCCAGCTCCTGCCCATCTAGCAGTTTGAAAGCATGCAATAGAATTCTTTATTAACCAAGTGTGATTGGCGACACAAGGAATTTGTCTTGGTGCAAATGCTCTCAGTGTACACGGTACAGTGTAAATGCAATTAGATAAATAGGTACCACTTCAATGGGAAGGTAACATTATTCTCTGCCATTTGGAATATAGTCATGCTGGCCACATGACAATGGAACATGTCTTTGGACAACGTTGGATTCCCTCGGCCAATGAATGGAGATGAGCATTGCTCCCTAGACTCAGACATGACTGACAAGGAAATCTTTACCAGTACTGTTGCCTTAATAAACCACTATTTATGATCCTGTCCTACAAATTATAGAGGAGCTGAAGAAAATTTGCACAATTGCCACCCTTTTTGAAAAACTCATATTTCTCACAACGTGCAGTTCAGATTTCCATGTCCAGGTTAAAATAAGAAAGAACTTTCCACAATGTTAATAAGAATCTGAATTATTTTTTTCCAGGAGAAATAATTGAGACACTAATGATAAACTATTTTTATTTTGTTCTTCTGTTGCAATCAGTTCCCAGTGGCTTTCAGTTTTGAATATGCAGCGTATTCTAGAAACAGAGAAAAAGGCGTATTGAAAATAAATTATTACCCAATTAGTACAAAGAAAAGGCATAACATAATTGAAAAATGCACACAACCATAGCTTATGGCTAGAGTTCTAACAAAAGTTGGCAATCTGTTCCTAGGAGCTATTCGCCCACATGCAAATATATGCTAATTACTGTTCTCCACAGACTATTTGAAAAACAGTTACAGAAATTTGCAGTCATTAAAGGTCAGCTGAATGTGATTTTCTTCCGTGTTTCTCTGATGACACATTAGCCGACAGAATGGGAGGTCATTTCAAATAAACTCACTTTCTCAGTCACCATTTTTGATAACAAAATATAGTCCTATGTTACATTCCTGAGGAATCTTGAAACAACTTTTATTTGGGCATAGAAGATTTCCAAGTTGATTGGTCAATGCAACATGGATGTCTTATCACATTTTCAGGGCAAATTTTATTTTGGGGGGGCTGATTAGTCCTTCAAATGCTGTTTTCCCAACCCATCAAGAAATTCATGGCTTCTTTTCAGCATCTGGAAGCTGAAATGGTCCAGCAGTTGAAAGAGGAACCAAAATTCAATGCATAGCTAGATGTCTATTCGGCTTTTAAAACCAGGAAATCATGAAAGAGAATTGAGTTCAAGATGTCTTCTGTGGAGATAAAAATGGAGCAGTGGAGAAGATGGCACTCCATCAGAACCCCCAATTTCTCCCAAGTGTCCAATTAAACACAGACTAATCAACCCAGCTCTTCTAGAAGATATTTGGATTCTTCTTTTCTTCCTTCACAAGAGAAACATCAGAACATTGTGTCAAAGAAAAAGGGCATGATTCTTTATTGGCTTGGAATAAAGAATATAATTGGCTTCATGGATGTCATGTTAATATGAAAATATGAAAATATCATACTGGTACCCAACATGCTAAATCGAGAAGAATCAGCACCAAGGACAGAGGCCTGAATAAGTTTTGCTGTAAGTCAGTCCTGTTGGTTTTGATTCAACTAATCTCTTGAGGAAAATTTCTTGAAACATGAAAGCTTGTAGCAATATTATAAATATCCTGAATTAAGCTAAATCTCCAAAGGCAGTGGCTGGGAAATGTTGGATGGCCAGGGCTCTAGCTCTACATCCAACACAAAGCATCCATCAGTGCCTTCTCCAGACTCCATAACTGGCCTGAGTTCCTCCCCGACCTCCTCATTATCTGAGTCTGATTGCTCTTCTCTGCACTCTTTCTAGGGTCTCAACATCTTTTTAAAATTGTGGTGACCAAAACTGGATGTGGTATTCCAAGTGTGGTCTCACCAGGGCAACAATGGACATTACTTTTTCCTTGTTCTCTTTGTAATGTTCTCGATGACCCTTAAGTGCAACGTAATTTCATTTTGGCTTATTTCTTTTGGCGAGTTGTTATCGTGTATTTCCTGAGGAAGGGAGGATGACGAATCTCCAAAGGCAACATTCTAAGAACTTTTTATGAGTCAATGTAATGACTTTTTATTAACAATTTATGTTCAAGGACCATGAAATGAAGTAAAGTACTTAAATGCATTATGTGCCCCAAGATGGCATTCCTGCCTTAAATGAGCAAAATATTCTTTTAAAATTATAAATTGTAGTTAAACGATATCCCATTAAAATATATAAATTTCAATAGACATTTATAGCATTATATTTTTATTAATTAGTTATTTATGACTGCAGCTTAAGATATTTTTACTCCCTGGGAAGAACAAGATAATAGCAATAGCACTTAGACTTATATATCCCTTCACACTGCTTCACAGCCCTTTCTGAATAGTTTACAGAGTTACCAAATGGCCCCCAACAATCTAGGTCCTCATTTTACCAGCCTTGGAAGGATGGAAGGCTGAATCAACCTTAAAATGGTCACAATGGAACTCCTGGGAATCAGCATAGTCTGCAATGCTGTATTTTAACCATTGTGCCACCAGGAAGGAGAATGAGAAAGGAAGGAAGGAAGGAAGGAAGGAAGGAAGGAAGGAAGGAAGGAAGGAATAGCACTTAGATTTATATATCTCTCCATAGTGCTTCACAGCTCCCTCTAAGCAATTTACAGAGTCAGCCTCTTGCCCCCAACAATCTTCATTTTACCGACCTTATAAGGATGGAAGGCTGAATCAACTTTGAGCTAGTCAGGATCGAACTCCTGGCTGTGGGCAGAGTTAGCCTGCAATACCGCATTCTAACTACTGTGCTACCATGGCTCCTAGGGTTATGGATGAATATTAGGTTAGTGTTAGAGGTGAGTACAATAATATGCCTTGGCTTTTCCTCCAGGTATCAAACCAGGATGATAGATGAGCTCATAATTTTGAAGGGGAAGTGTAGAACTGGTGGACTTTTGCAGTACGTTGTTGTGGTTCGCTGGCAGCTGGTGCAGATGGCAGTGGAATTGGACTGTGAGGAAGAACGGGGACTAGTCCAGGAGTCTGGAGAGGATTCAGATGAGGGTTCTGCATCTGATACAGAGATGGGGCCAGGGCCATCTGGGAGTTGTGTGCTGACTCCGGAGCCTTCAGAGTCTGGCAGAAGTGAGGCAGACGAACAAGGGAAGCCTGTTCTCAGTATGTGCATGTGCAGAGCTGTCAGAAGGCAAGAGCAGCTGAGACAAAAGAGGCGACTCGGGAGTAAGGTTTGGAGGTGATTGCCCCTTCCATAAGGGATAAAGGACAGGCAAAGGTGAAGAAACCTTTGTAGGAAGTAAAGTCGTTCATTCTGTTCGAATTAATCCTTGAAGCTCTTTGTGGACTTTGTACTTCAGTTGGTTTTTTTAAAATTCATTTGGCACTCTAGTTGTTAGCAGCAATTCAAAGGAGAGAAAGGTGGGTGCTTATCTCGAGGGACTGTTTGGGACTCATTACAGGCTGGGAATGAAAATAATTCCCAGTGTTGAAATAAAACAAGACTTGTTCTAATTAGGCTTGTGCTTAATTATGGTCTCAGGAAGCCTTGGTCAAAACACATGTAGATCAAATGTGGTTTTACAGATTCATTTTTGTGGAGGCTGTATGGTCTGATTTGCAGTAATGTCTTGGGCAGTTGTTATTTGACATATGGCACCCAGAATTGGGGTTACGTGAGTCGGTTGGAATCAAGCAAACAAATACATTGAATCCCAATTTTTATCCACCAATGGATGGGAATGAGCTTGCTCATTCCAATTTTCAATTGCCATTTCCCCCCTTGCTTTTATTCAGCTAAAATGACATTTTAGTCCTCCCCTTTTTTTAACCGGAAGCAATCACATTTTTGACCAGTCATTGTTGACTTTCCTTTCATAAGTCACAGAACTCAGAAGCTCCTCTACAAATAGTTGTAGCTTGTTTGGGTTTATTCTCTTTGTAAGTATCACAGAAAACTCAAAACTTTCTGTCTGCCGTATTTTTAGAGAGTAAAAAAAAAAAAATTTCAAAGAGGAGAACACTACCTTAAAAAAAATCGCTGTGTTTATCCTATGATTCCCACCAATCTCCACGGAATGAATCTGCTTCTTCATTTCACCCACACAGCTTTTGACTGATGAGTTGTGAGCCACACGCCAGACGTTTCATTCCCATTTGGCAGGCAGCCGTCAGTCCTCAAAGAAAAAACAATGAATGAAGTGAAACAGTTGTGATGGCTGACAGCCACATCACTTTCCCAGGAAGACAAACATAGGGTTTTATCTCCTTCTTCTGAAATTACGAGCGCCGGTGTAACAACGCTTCTTTTCTGCTAATGTGAAGATGCCAAGGAAATCCCACACTTTGCCTGCTTTATGTAGGAAACAATAATATTGGCTATTGATCTGTCAGATTCAACAAGGCCTTTGGATAGCGGGCCCAAGATTAAAGAGACATGAACCAAAGTTTGAGATAGGATAATTTCAGAATGCACCAGAACTATTTGTAATCCTGCTGAGCCATTGCTAATTGTGAGACATGATTTTGCAAAGAATTGAGTTTTATAAATATACTAGCTTGATACCGTGCTTCGCTATGAAACTATGTGGTCAGGCTTAGTTTTTGGGGAGGAAAAAAGAGGGGAAAAATATTCTGCCTCTGCCTACCAGCATCCATTGGTATTCATCTGGCTAGCATCCTATCAGTGTGTGAGAGAGTGGAGGGCTGTTTGGAAACTGAAAGAATATTTGCTGTGTGAGCAAGAAGGAGACAGCAAGGATCCTGGGCGTGGCTTAGCTCAGCTGTTCTGTACTAAAGCTGCTTAGTGCTGTGAAACTAAAAGTGAAACTGAAACTCTTCTCCTCTACTTGTGTTTTGCATTTGGAACAGATTTCTTTTCAGGTGGGGAGGGGGTGTAGTAGAACTCCTTAGCATCAGAGTGTGTTAATAATAATAATATAGGAAATACTGATGATCTGATAGTCATTTCAAAAAAATCCTTTCTTAGTGAGCACCTAGAAGCCAAGAGGAACATACATGCCAAATTTCAAGTTTGTAGGCTTTACAGTTCTGGAGATTTTGTGATGATGAGTCAGCGGTATTTTGCATATATATATATATATGTGTGTGTGTGTGTGTGTGTGTGTGTGTGTACATATACATAGATAGATAGATAGATAGATAGATAGATAGATAGATAGATAGATAGATATAGATATAGATAGATAGATAGATAGATAGATAGATAGATAGATAGATAGATAGATAGATAGATTTGGATATAGAAAGACAAAACTACGAGAAATAAGGAAGTGAAAGTAGCTGGTGGATAGAGGTTTGAGATGTACATGGGTATATGTGGAGACTGTCTGTCTATAAGTAAGAACAAGGAAGTATGTTGTGAAATGCGTGCAGAAAAGTATAAAAAGAACATCTTGGGGTGTGTTCAGGACCACTGGCCATGACTGCTACTCCTTGCCAGACCTAGCTATTGTCTCTGGACCTCATTGCAATGAGTTATTGATATAAGTTGTGTTATGAGGGACGTGGTGACTCGGTGGCTAAGATGCTGAGCTTGTCGATCAGAAAGCTGGGAGATGGAAAGCAGGTTACCGGGTGGGGAGAGAATGTGGATTTTGCAGTAACCTTCCCCCAGGAATGGGGTGGGAATGGAGATTTAACAGTATCCTTCCCCTGCCATGTCCACCAAGCCATGCCCACCAACCCACACCCACAGAACTGGTGGAAATTTTTTTTAAATCCCACCACTGGAGGAGGGGTGTGAGAGGTGCAATTGACATCCTCCAGAAGAGTTCCTTCCAGTGGATTCCTTGACAGGATTTCCTTGCCACTATCCAGATTGATGAGGACTTTTTGTGTTGGGATTGAAGGGCTAATTGAGGTTCCCTGCAGGGAACTCAGAGACTGCTAGGGCTTGTGAATCACCTAAAGATGTGTGACCTGGAGCTTCAACAGTGAATGTGGTGGTGTATTCTTGATTTGATTGCTTATTGTACCCTACAACTATCATTAAGTGTCATACCTTATGATTCTCGACTCTTGATGAATGTATCTTTTCTTTTATGCACATGGAGAGCATTTGCATCAAGACAAATTCCTTGTGTATCTAATCACACTTGGCCAATAAAGAATTATATTCTGTTCTGCTCTGTTCTGTTCTATTCTATTCTATTCTGTTCTATTCTGTTCTATTCTATTCTGTTCTATTCTATTCTATTCTATTCTATTCTATTCTATTCTATTCTTAATGTACCTTATGACTATTATTAAGTGTTGTACGTGATGATTCTTGACTCTTGATGAATGTATCTTTTCTTTTATGTATACTGAGAGCATTTACACCAAGACAAATTCCTTGTGTGTCTAATCACACTTGGCCAATAAAGAATTCTATTCTATTCCTAAGTAAAAAGGGGTTTCTCCTCATGAGTAAGCTGTTGAGTGGGGCTCGTGAAGGCTGGGTCAGAACAACAGGTTATGTCCAATAAGGGTTTTGGGTTTTGCTGCACAAACATCAAGACTTTGCTTTTTGAAGTGTCTGTTTTAATTATTCACCACTGATGTTTCCCAAATTAGGTTGTCTAACTCATGGAGAGTCCTGAAGTTATGGGTCAGGAATTATAAATTGACAATATTGACAGCATAAAAAAATTGTATGTTTTACAGATGGCACTTAGCACCAGCAAAACTAGCAAAAATGTTCAAAGATAAATCAACTAAATGTTGGAAATGTCATCAAACACCAGGAACATATCACCAAATGTGGTGGACTTGTATAGAAGCTAAAAGATATCGGACTAAAATACACACTTGGTTGGAAAAAAATGATTAAACAACATATAGATTTGAAGCCTGAAATATTTTTTATTAGGAATGGTACCTGAAGGTCATAGTAAAGAAAAAAGATACTTAATTATACATGTATTAACAGCAGCTAGAATTGTATTTGCTCAAAATTAGAAAAGTGATGAGGTACTGATGGAAGAAAAAATTATTGAAAAAATATTTGTATGTGCAAAAATGAATAGATTAACATAAGAAATTAAAGAAAAAGAAGAATCTGAATATTACATGGTATGGGACTTGTTTTATAAATGACTAGAAAATAAAATTAATTAAAAGGGATTAGATGTAATTATAAAGCAATAAGAGAAACTAGTGTAATAGATATACTGAATATTACTTATATTATATACAGTATACATGGGAATGTGATTAATATTATATAGTTGTACTGTAAAGAAGAATATTATTAATAATTGTTAAGCACATGAAATATGTACCTAATTGACACACGATTGAAATGAAATGGATTTATTGTATGTTAAAAATAAAATAAAAATTAATCCAAAAAAAAAATTGTGGAGAGTCCAAGACGGGTCCAGATAGTCAAGAGAGTTTTGTGAGGTAATTTTTGCACCTTTTCTTCCAGCATGAAGATTGGAAGTTGAGGCGCAGATGTAAACAGGAGATAGGTGGTGCCTTAGAAGTTTCCTACCCATTTGCACTACTCAGGTGACCCTGAGGGCACAGATGAACCTCCAAGTGGCCTCAAAAACTCCCAGGGAGAGCACTAATAACCAAATGACTGCAAGGAATATAAATCCTTCCAATCATCCTCCATCCAGTCAGAACGGAAGAAGCTTCTTGGATGAGAAGTGAAACATCTTCAAGGAAAAGCAAGGAAAGCCCAGTTGCCTTTTAGAAAAGCACCTCTGGGACAAACGTGACCTGGATGGCTGAGAATCTTGATAGACATCCATTATCCATTCCACCAAAAATGAATGGTATCTCCAAAGTTGCTCTCCTTGGAGGGAGCCTCTTCTCCAGTGCTGGGATTCCAAATGACCCACTACTGGTTCTGTGGGCTTTACAAGCTAAGAATCAATGGAATAAAGGAAATGTGTGCCTAATGCGGGCTTCACACATGTATGCAGCACTCAAAGATCACCCTCAGTGAGTTGAGCTAGTGTTTTTAGCTCAGCTGAGGCGCAGCAATTCACTCTGCCACGCAAATCAGCTGAGCTAAAAATCAATGGAATAAAGCAGAGGTGGCTAATCTTTTGGGGCTCCTGTGCCAAAAATTGCGTGCGCAGTTTCATGCGCACTCACATTCCAGCACCCAGAAGGTAATGTGTGCACCTTCCCATGCCCCCTGAACATGTGCGCGCAATCCCCACCCCCACCCCCTTACCTTCACTGTGCCTCCCAACTGATTTTTGGCCAGTTTGAGACCTTTTTCGGCCTCCCAAAGGCTTGAGGAAAGCTTCTGCAGGCTATGCAGGATGAGAAATGGGCCCGTTTCATCACTTCCGTTTCATCACTTTGTCACAGGAAGTGACAAAACGGGCCTATTTTTCGGCTTGCAAAGACTTTCCTCAAGTCTCTGAGAGGCCAAAAAAAGGCCTCAAACAGGCCAAAAATCAGTTGTGAGGTGCGCACATGCACAGTGAGATAAATTTGCCTGCGGCTCATGTGCCAGCACAAATGGCCCTGCATGCCACCAGTGGCACGTGTGCCATGCCTTCTCCATCATGGGAATAAAGGATAGGAAAGATCAGGGGTAGGTGGGTGGGGCCAACCAGAGCTAGTATTTGCCGGTTCTCCGAACTGACCAAAATTTCTGCTACTGGTACACCAGAACCGGTCCGAACCGGCTGAATACTACCTCTGCGTCTTCTCCCAAGAACTTCAGCGGTTTCATCCAAGCTGAATTTGCTAACGATAATGGAAGTGACCAGTAAACTCCTTCCTGGTTCAAAGATTGAACATTGTTTACTATAGAAAAGGAAGTGAAATGGCTCTGGGATTCTTTGCTGGATTCTGCCTCTGGGATAATGAAATTAAATGGTGTTTCCACGCGATAAAACGAAACAGGTTCTGCACAGGGAAGCTTTGGAGGAGGCGATAAACAGAGGAAAGTGGGGGAGGGGAGAAGAATCCAGTGTTTTTTGCAGAAGAGACATTAATAGAATGACCTTGGTTTTCATGTTTTTTTTTTTCCTAAATTCTCTCCAAGCAGGTGCTGCCTTTGATAAATGATGCCTGTAAATCAGAGCTAATGTTGCAGAGTCCCACCTGACATGGAAGTCTAAGTGCTCCTGATGAACTCTCAAAATGCCAGCCAGAAGGTGCATTTGCTGCCCATTAACATTTATAGATATTTTTATTTATTATAAATCCTGAAACAAAAGGGATGGGGCTTGATGACCTTACAAACACTTCATTAAAACTGGGGATATATATCACTCCAGGGAGGAAATTTTCCCGAGATAGTGAAATTACAGAGAAAAAGAACCCAAACAAATTAAATATGCTATCAAAGTAGCTGGGACCAATTTCTTAATATTCATATATCTTGTGGGGCAATTGGGATGACTGTATCCCTCACTGCATCATCGCTCCCTTTCTTATAAATTTTACTTCTCTAAGATGTGAGAAATGAAGGCGTGGTGGCACATTGGTTAGAATGCCATATTGCAGGCTAATTCCGGCCCAGTGCCAGGAGTTCGATTCTGACTGGTTCAAGGTTGACTCAGCCTTCCTTCCTTCCTTCCTTCCTTCCTTCCCTGCCTCATTCTCTCCTTCTTCCCTCCCTTCTTCTTTCTTTCTTTCTTTCCTTCCTTCCTCTTTTATTTCCTTTCTCATTCTCTTTCCTGGTTGCACAGTGGTTAGAATGCAGTATCGCAGGCTGACTCTGCCCATTACCAGGAGTTCAATTCTTTTTTTTTTTGTAAATTTTATTTGAGTTTTTACAAAGAAAAAAAATACAAATAAAACCTCTTTTTTGAAAGTAGCATAATCCCTGGTTACATTTCTTCGTACAGACACAAATTCAACTTCATGCTCATTTTTATGTTCTATTCCATATCTTATTACTGTTTTACATTTTCTGCATAGCTTCTCCCCTCTTTTAATTTTCTCAATTTTATTTTAATTATCTCATCTCAATTCAAATCATTATATTTATATTTTTGTCTGTCCTGTTTCAATTATCTATTATCTTTTCTCTTTAAACAAAATTTATCCTGTAGTTACTGATTGGAGTATGACACCTTTATATCTTTTAAGTTTATCCATTTAACCTTATTTAGGCTTCAATATATACCCTAAAGTTATAACATTCAATATAATGCATAACTTCCATTCGGATTCTGCTTGGTACATTCTTAAAATACACACTATATTCTTAAAAAAAGAAAAAATTATAAATATATGTAATTAAAACAACACATTCCATTCCAATTCAATCATTAATATTAATATTCATTAAAATCTTAACTTCTTTAATGTTACTTTTCAATTAAATATCATACTTCTATGGGAACAATTATAAGCTTTCCATAATTAATTCCCCCCCTCTTCACTTATATTTTGTAAAACATTAACTAATTAAAATGATCCTGTTCCTTCCTAATTCAATTTTCTCATTTATTTTATTTCACTTATTTTATTCACAAACATTTCACTAAATTACACTAACTATTTTATCCCTCATTTTAATCATACGTTGTTTCCAATTTTCTATTTCTATTACTAATATAACAATACAATCTTATGTACCTTTACAGAATCCCTTTTTCAATTAGATTTTCACCCATTATCTCTAAATAGGTCCTGTTTCTCTATAACTTGCTCCGGTCCTTTGTAACTTCTTTTCCTTTCCTTCTTCCCTCTCTTCTTCTCTCTCCCCTTTTTACCCCCTTGTCTCTCTACCTCTATTTCTCTCTTCTGTATTCCCCTTTTCTGTTGCTTTCCAGTATTATACTTATTTTTCAAATTATTTTTCTTTTTTGGGGGGTTGTTTTTTTAAGTCTTAAATTCTCCATTCTCTTCCCTCCACTTTCTTTTTTCTTCCCCACATAAAATTACTTGTTCGTTAAAGATGGCTTCTTCTTTGTCTCAGTCTTCTTGTTTTACAGACATTTCTTGTTGTTTCTCATAGTTCCAAATCTCCATTTCTAAGAATTGAAAAATGAAGCCAAAAGAATTTTGTGCATCTTCTTTGTACTTTTTAGGTTCCATTTTCAATTCATCCAGAAGTAGTGCCATTGTATAAATTTTTAAACAACCACCCGATTAATTTTAGTCATTCAAATGTAATAACCAAGAATCCAAAGATCACCAAATAATCCAAATACATGCAAGCTGTTTCTTTTTGCTCTTTTTTTTCACGTTCTCTTCCTGGGGTTACTGTTTAGTTACAAAGTTTCAGTTAAAATCTACCTTCTAGAAGTCTTGTTGAAGTTTTAGTGTAGATTCTTTTTAATTCCAGGCAGTCTCCTCCCTCTTCCAGATCCTGCCCTTATTCTTTTTCTCTCCCTTCCTGCTTATGAAAAAAAAAATAGTGTCCAGAAATCTTTATTATTCCTTTGACATTTTGTTTTATTTTCAGCTTAATTGCCTGTTGTTGTCAAAGCGGATTTTCCGATTTCTTATTTAAGTTTCTTAGTTGTCAGTATAGGGAAGGGGAGAGAAGAAAAAAAACCCAAATCTTTCTCTTTTCACTTTCTTTCGCTGCTTCCTACTCTTCTTTGGGAGCGATGTTATTTTTTTGTAAGTTTAAATTCCAGGGTACCTTATTTGTTGCTTTTGCTGTTTGACCCGGTCAACCAAAACTTTCTCTTCTTATCTTCCTCCTGCACATTCTTTTCCGGTCAAGTTTTTCTTTGAGGTGGCCATTTCTGACCACCGCTACAACCACCTTCAAGAAAGGGAGTAATGGCCAGCTGAGGAGGAGAGATGCGGCTCTCCTCAACCCTGCTGGCAATCTCCCCCCTCTTCACCACCTCTATGGGGTGGCTTAGCCCTGAAACCAGCCAGCTCGGGGTGCTCCTGCGGTGAGCCCAGACCGAAACTGTGTACGATCGCGGATTTTTGTCTGTCGCTGAAGAGACTTCAAACTGGAAACTCCCAGAAGTTCAATTCTGACTTGTTCAAGGTTGACTCAGACTTCTTTCCTTCAATGCCATTGAGGAGAGTAGCAACTTAACTGTAATTCTGATAGTTCCTGCTTTAAGCTTATACATATCACTTTCCACCTGGCATTGGAGATGAAATATATATTCTTATGTTTAGAGAAGTGAGCATACAACCAAATTGGATTCACTATGCTAAAAATAGTACACAATTCACATTGTGGCTATACTCGGATTTTGAGGGGAGGGATTGCTTCCTAAAATATAATTTTATGGCCCTGGAGATTCCTCTAATTGCATTTCATGTAAGTCCTACAGCCCTGTTTCCTTATATTTCAACTTCTGTGGAGACTTACACACCCATCGTTATTTCTCCTCTGATAAAAAAATTATCAGGCAGAGACAATGAGGCATTTCTCTCACTTCTTCTGTCTTTTGGACCAATGTTAGTCACTCAGTAGCTAAATTTTGTTCTGAAACCACCTTAACCAACATCTAGATTACCAAATCTATACCATCTTCTAAACAGTGAGAGGATCATCTGCATGTTTGAAAAAAAGCAATCAATCAATCAATTAGAATAGAACTGGAACAGACCTTGGAGACCTTCTACTCCAACTGACCCTCAAGCAGGAGACCCTATACCAGGGGTCTTCAAACTTGACAGCTTTAAGACTTGTGGTCTTCAACTCCCAGAATTCCTTCTCCAGTCATGTTAGCTCAGGAATTCTGGGAGTTGAAGTCCACAAGCCTTAAATTTGCCAAGTTTGAAGACTCTTGCCCTACACCATTTTAGGCAGGTGGCTATTCTGTCTCTTCTTAAAGAGCTCCAGTGGTGGAGCACCTACAACTTCTGAAGGCAAGCCCTTCCACTGGTTGATTGTCCTCATTGTTAGGAAGCTTCTCCTTAATTCCAGGTTGCTTCTCTCCTAGAGTAGTTTCCATCCATGAAGGTATCAATGACCATGTGGTCAAAAACAGAGGTGGTACTCAGCAGGTTCTGACCTGTTCTGGAGAACTAGTAGCAGAAATTTTGAGTAGTTCAGAGGACCGGCAAATCCCACCTCTGATTGGAGATTTTACAGCATTCTTCCCCTGCCACACCCACCAAGCCACACCCACAGAACCTGTAGTAAAATAATTGGAATCCCACCACTGGTCAAAATTCATTTAGCGAAATGGAGCATCAGGAAAAAAGAGAGTCATCGGTAATTCTTTTATCCTAGACCCCACAGCTTTAGATTGGCCTGAAATAGGAACATGATCTCAGGGGTGGTGAACCGGTAGTTCTGGTGAACATTTGGCCCCACCCAACATTTGGCTCTTTCCTGTGCTTTATTTCCTGGGGTTTTTTTTAGCACAGCTGATTCACGCAGTTTTGCTGCACCTCAGCTGTTTTAGTCCCGGGGCTGTAGTAGAAAGTAAGTAATTGAGTTGAAAATGGGCTTTTTGAAATGTAGTGCATGTGTGCAAAGAGTGCATGAAGAGCACACTCACTAAACCAGTTGTTACACCAGTTGACTCACACCACTGTGTGATCCTGAACATGGGATTCCTCTTTGAAAGAACTAAATGTGTGTTTCTTTAAGAAAAATAAATGGAATGCCACAACAGCCACTGCAGGATAAACAGTTCCTATTGTACAACATTTCTCCTCCCCCACTAGATCAAATTGTATTACTCTTGCAGTCATTCAAGATGGCAGCAAAAACATATTCTACAGGTTTGAAATACAGAGAACGGAAGCTGGCAAGAGGGAAATAAAATCACATTATTTCAAGTTCTCCATTCCATTAATCATCCCAGCTGGTTGTAGACCTGGGCTGACCTTCATTCTCTTAACCGAGACATCACTGAAAGGATTCCTGTTGACACTTCCTGCAATTGTCTCCCTTCGGTCTGTTTAAAATAGTTCCGATTTGTAAAAGTTTTACCTTTTTCTTACAAAGTTGGTATTTAGTTGGCTGCTTAATTAGAATGGGTGTTTTAAGTTTTCCCCTTCTTCATTGGCAAACACTTCTGATGGGAAGAGAAACAGACAGCATTAAAACAAAAAGCAGCCAGAGACTGCATATTTTTTTATGCAAACTGGCTATGAAAAGCTTCTGTTTTAGAGATTCTTACACATAAGAAACAAGCAGCCCATTTTGTCGTGAAGACCTACTGAGAATTATAATAATAAATACAACACCAATTTATTACGTGCCCTTACCAAGGCAATGTTACAAATCGAAAAAACACAGGAATTATGTGGGTGAGTACAATCAGGTATAAGAGCAAGACCAGTAAATAAGTGTTAACCCTACCACAAATCACCCACAACTGTCATATATATTTATAATAATGTTCTGAGATGTGCAGAATGATGTGCAGATGTCAAGATGAAACATGAATTAACCTAGGAGCCGTACACTGGTAGGTCTTGACTTATGACGGTATACTGGTAGTTCTTGACCTATGATGTATTTTTATACAACAACTGCAGTGGGGTTCAGCCAGTAGATGGCAGTGTTTACAAGTTTGAATCTATAGTATATATACTCTATGTTCTTTTGTTCTAAGCAGTGTTTCCCGTTTCCTGTTACAGTTATACAGTTGAGCAGTAAAGCACATAGTGTCAGTGCTGTTTGTTTGCTCTCTCTGGTGCTATATATGAACAGACTTTCTAACAATAAGTGACCATTTGAAAATGCAACAAACCCCAAAACAGATATTTGTGATGTGGACAGCTGCTCACCCTCCATGATCATGTGATCACATTTTGGGGCACAGCAGAGGCATCCATAGTGTGGGAGGATGTGTATTGACAACTGCAGTATTCTTCCCATATAGCACAACCTCTCTCTTTTGCACACAAATCATGGTGTTGCATGTGTACATACAAAAAGATTGTTGTGTCACGTCAACCGGAATGCTGTTTCTGTTGTTTTGATAAAAGTGCATGATCTTGCCATTTTTTTTTAAAAAAAAAATTTACACTTATTTGTCAAATGAAAATTAAATTCAGCTGGATGGAAACTAACCAAGGAGACAAGCAACCTGAAATTAAGGAGACACTTCCTAACCATGAGAATAATTACTCAGTGGAACTTGCCTCCAGAAGTTGTAGATGCTCCATCAATGGAGGTTTTTAAGAGTCTGGACAGCCATTTGTCCAAAATGGTATAGGGTCTGCTCTTGAGTGGGGAGTTGGACTAGAGACCTACAAGTCCCCTTCCAGATCTCTCTCTCTCTCTCTCTCTCTCTCTCTCTCTGTGTGTGTGTGTGTGTGTGTGTGTGTGTGTGAATATATATGTGTATATGTATATCTGTTCCAAAATGTCAAGATTAATGAAGATAGAGTGTGATAATCAGACCTATCCCAAGACCAAGGATACCACAGCAATAAATCTCACAAGGTCATCACACAACCCATTACTCAAGCCATTACTACATAGGAGGCTAATGGAAAAGAGATCAAAACACAAACAACCCAGGAGATTACAACGCAGGACCCAGGATACCACAACAAAAGAACTTGCAAGCCCATCACACAACCCATTACCCAAGCCATTAAAACACGAGAGGCTAATGGAAAAAAGATCACTACAAAACAAATGACCCAGGAGATTACAGCACAAGATCCAGGATATCTCCACAACAAAACTCACAAGGCCATCACACAGCCCATTATACCAACATCAACTCCATCAACCAATCAAGAGGCAGCAGTGCAGCCAACCAACCCAGCACACCAGCCCCCACCACCAGTATTTATAGAGAATTGGCAGCTCTGATCACACACTGCTTGCACCGGCATGAAACCGAAAGCACCAGCCTGAGGATGGCAAGTGGGACCTCGCTGAAACGTCACCAAGATACTCTTAATCTTACAGGGGAAAAGACCCGAACACACCTAGACCTACATACACACACACACACATGAAATACAGATATAAATTAATTAAGGGTATTTTTAAATTTTAAAATTATTTTCCAATCCTAATGAACATAATATAGAGCACTCTAACCCTAACCCTAACCCTAATGCAACTAACTCTAACTATAATTTTAACTGTAACTCTAATCCTAACCCTAACCTTAACTCACTCTAATTCTAACCCTAACCCTAACCCAAGGTTTGTGTGACTGAGAAGGTTCAAAATTATGGCAGCATAGTTAATTCAAGAATGGTTCTGGAAAATACCCTAAGAGATAGCAGTTCCTGGAGTTCTTCCCTCAAATGAAGGAAGAAGCACAAAATGTTGACAAAGGACAAATTAAAGAAATGAAGAGCAAATTACTAAAGACGTGACAGGTAATGCAGTCCCAGATGGGGAAAAATATCTGAGAAAATAATTGTGCTGTTTTTCGTAATCACTTCTTGCTGCAGAACATGTCAGGTGTGGAGAAACAGACTCAGTTTTTAATTCAGTCATGCACAAAACAGACATTGGCTCACTTATCATGAATCTCGACGTCTTGATAGTTTGGAAACCGTAGATGTCATTTATTGCTTCAAGGGCTCTCTCAACAATGTGTCATTTGAAAGTGATCAAAGTCTAAAACTATAGATAACCAGATGCTCCATGCAGCCCACATCTGTGTACAAATCTGTTTACTACCTCAGATACAGAGACTGACTTGGAAAGGTGTCAGGGAAGAAATAAATTCATTCCCCCCCACAAAAAAAGGAAAAATCAGAAGGCTTCCTATGCCTTTTCTAAAATTAAGATGGTAATTATTATGTCTCAGTAAATAACCCCGCTCTCTTTTGCCACTGAACACAAAATTAGCCAGATTAAAAAGACAAGACCTTAATCTATCCTATTGAAAATATGAACAGAACAAAAAATTCTCTCGGCTAATGAAATATCTTCTTGATGACATCAAATGATGATGTTTTACCTCAAGTGATGCATCAATCATTATCCAAATTATGCTGAATTAATATAGAAAATAGAATAATAAAGTTGGAAGGATCCTTGGAGGACCTCCCTCCTTCCCTTCTCTCCTTCTCTCCTTCCCTTTTTTCCTCCCTCCCTCCCTCCCTCCTCTCCCTCCC